CAAAAATCCCCAAATTAAAATATTCTTTTCCCAAATTTTCCCCAAATTCCCAAAACCCTTTCCTTTTTCCTTCTCCTCCACCTGTAAGTAGTAACCGACCCATCCCATTCCCACTACATCTCCTCCGCCCGTCGACCGCCAGCCGTCGCCGAGCTTCGCCGCCGTGAACCAGCCGCCGGAAGTCGCCGTTTCGCCGTCGCCCAGCCGGAATCGAAGCGAGAGAGGGAAGAGAAAAGAAGAAGAAGAAGAGAAATTTGGGGCTACCTTTGTTTTGGGTCTACCTTGGGTTTTTGGACATCTCAGAATCATGCCTAGGAGGTCTAAGTTCGCGAGAAGAGTGGAATGGGTGGATGCCCACTACCTAGTTTTGGAAGGTAAAACTTTTGATCCCGACTCTTTTTCGGATTCCTTGTTGGAGTTGTTGAACTACCAAGGGTTGTTGGATGGGTTTCTCGCCATTATGACCGAGACTTACCCAAGTTTGTTGAAAGAGTTCTATCGTCACATGAGTGTGACCAAAGATAGTGGAAGGTTGGAAGTTACCTCTAAGGTGGGAGGTGTGAAGATTGTCTTGACCGAGAAACGGTTGGCTCAGCTTTTGAGTTTGACAACCACGGGAGTCTCGCAGTATAGTGGTGACTCTTGGATTGAGACGAATAATATGAGTTATCAAAATTATCTGAGTTATCTGTTGGGAAGAACTAGTGAGTTCACCCAGGACACAAGGCCGGAGAGGAAGTGGTTATCTGCAGAGCAAAAGATTTTGGTCATGCTAGTTTCTAACTGCTTGTTGCCCAATAACAATAAGAGTCGTTTGTCGGGTAAGCTGGAGTGCAAACGTTTGCTTTCTGTTTGAAAAACAAGGTGAAGTTCAATCTGCCTGCGTTGATGTTGCAGCATATGGTCTACTGTCGAGACCATAACTGCAAGAGTTTGCCTTATGGCATGGTTTTAAGCTGGATCTTTGCTAAGAAGGGAGTGAGTGTTGATGGTTGTGTGCCCAAGCCAGTGGGCAAGATGGTTTTGGATGCCATAAACCTCCGCAGTTGCAACCTGTTTCAGCTGGATGATGGTGAATATATCACTCTTGAAGAGGTCGCTAGAAAAGACCCTGCCGAGATGAGTTCGTTGGTTGCAGAGCTGGAAATTCCTGTTGGAAAGTTGAACCTAGTGGTTCAGAGCTTGGGTGGAGATGTTGGGAATGAAGATGAAGAAGAGCGGGAAGATGAAGAAGGAGGAGAAGAAGCAGAGGAGGTCGAGGAGAGCGACTCCGAAAGTGAAGAAAACATAAGGAGGAAGGAAGTGCGAACAAAAAAGGAGCACGATGCTATGACACACGAGGAGTGTGTGGTCACCCTTCTTCGTCAACAGAACCGGATGATTGAGGAATGTTTTGCTTTCATGAAGACTCAGTTCGTCGCTGTCAACCAGAGGTTGGACCAGTTGGAGGCCGGTTCTAGCCGTGGTGGAGCTGAGGAAGACTCGGACGAGGATGCCGAGGAGTCGAAGAGTGAGTCCTTTTAGACTAGAGTTGGGGTAAGCTCGTTTCTTTTCTCGTTTGTTGTTGCTGTTTAAGTAGTTGTTGCTTGTTGGTTGTGCTTGTTACTCTTTCTTGTTTATCTTGTCTGTTAGTTTGTTGCTTGGATAGTTAGTTTAGTGTTCAACCTAGTTAGAATTCAGTTGTTTGAGTTTAGGCGTGGTTTAGAAAGCTTTTAGTTATCGTTGTCTTGGCTTTAGCGTTTGTGTGCTCAAGAAAATTTCTTTTGTGACCCTTTTGAAACCTTGCAATTTCTTGACTTTTGCAAACCTTACCCCTTTTGGATCCTTGAAGTTCTGGTTAAATGGTATTCTTGTTTTCCTTTTGTCACATGGTTGATTCGTTGTTACCCGTTTGTTTGAACTCGTTGTGCCCAAGCTTCGGGGACAAAGCTTCTTGTTAGGGGGAGAGGATGTGACACTCTATAAATCCAAACTCTAATCAAGGATTAATTAGAGAATTAATCCTAGTCTCTTTGTTAATTTATTCCTAAAAATCCTGAAATTCAATAGTCGAGGGACTAGATTTTGACTAGTCACTTAAGTCAAAGGGTTGTACCTTGTGCTTCTTGGGTTGTGCCCTTGTTCCCTTGTCATTCTAACCTTAGTAAGGGTAGGAATGTCTTTTTTACCTAAAGTTTGTGATTTAAGCTAACCTAGCCATACACTCTCATTCCATTCACCCTACAATCTAAACATAAAAATCTCTAGCTTCTCTCTAAAAATGTGTAGCTTCTTCTCCAAGCTAGGATTTGGGCATCCCAAATCTTGCAAGTTGTCTTCCAAGATTCCTACTTTCTTCATCTTGAGCATAGGGGAGGGTAAGATCCTTGGTCTTTTGGTGTTTTTAACCTCCTTTTAGGTGTCTTTTTCTAAAGATAGAATCTTTGTTGTCTTTTGGTTTGTGTATGAAGTTGGTGTGGAAGAGGAGCTTTAGGAAAGGCTTTCTAAGGGTGAAAAGAAGAAGTTATTAGGCTACAAAGATAACCCATGCTTTACAAAACCTATTTTCTTACTTATATGATGATTTCTTGGCTTCTACTTGTGATTCTTGTGTTGATTTGTGAGATTTGATGCATTGTCTTGTGGTGATGCATGTTTAGAGCTTGTTCGTAGGGTTCTTGAATGCCATTGCTTGGCTATTTCTTGGGTTCAAGTCATATTGTTGTTTTGTGCGAGATTTTGGGTGTTTTGGACTTGAATTTGGACTTGTTGTTGAAAATCTCCGAAGGGATTATTTTGGTGTACAGGGCGTACCCGCGGGCAGAGGCCTACCTGCTGCCCTACCCGCGGGGAACAATGCTTCGTGGGTTGGTGTACCCGCGGGCGGAACCACGGGTGGTTGTCCACCCATGGCCCCACCCGCGGGGTACATTATGGTGTTGGCCGGGGATTTATTCCCCGTGATTCTTTTGACTCGGTATTGATGTTTTGACCTCCCGATATTGTTTTATTGGGCTCTTTGTGAGTCTTCTTGGTACTTCGTATGTCTAGAACGGTATGTTAGGAATCTATGTAAGATTTGGTGTCTTGAATCGTGCTAAAGGTCCAACCTTGTGATTCGTTGGGCAAATTGTGAGTCTTGAATGTTCTATAGAACTACTTTTGGTTTACCCGTGTTATAAGCATGCTAGTTTGATGTTGAAATGCTAGTATGTGCGGTTTGATCCTTCTTATTGTGATTGACAACTTGTATTGACCATCGCTTGGTGTCGGATTGTGATCCTTCGTTGTTGAGTATGGTTTCATGTCCTTGTTGTGATGCATTGATTGATTCCTATGATATGAACGTATGTAATCGTTGTACCCTTTGATTGATACTTGATTAAGGTTATTGTGGAACCTTAGTCTTCTTGGTAATGATGATGACTTGTGTGACTATGATTGAATGTGGGTGGTTGTTACTTGAGCTTTGCTCACATGTAAGTGGTTGTGTGAATGAAATGAATAGTATCCTCGTGTACTGATATGTAGGTGGTATGTTGGAGGTTGTTGGAGGGGGGGGGGGGGGGGGGGGCGACGACGGTCCCTGGCGGTATAAGGTTGGACTCAGAAGTACAGGGTGACACTAGGAGGTAATTGTTGGAACTGAAATAAGGCCGGGGTAGCCATAAGGTTGGAACTATGTAACTTGAGACATGTAGTTGTCACCGTGTGAATGTGAATTCTTTACTAATGAGCATGTCTTGATGTATTTTACTTTGTGATCAGTAGAATGCATCTTGAGTTGTATTGTCTTTCATGTTTGTGGTCTTGTCGCTGTTGCAAGGATGGTGATTCCTTTTCCTTTTTGAGAGTGTTTAATGAGTCCTTGAAATTAACTTCTCTCTATGGCTTTTGAAATGATATATATACTCTATTTCGTTTCAAAATGGTTTTGCTTATACTTATCTATATATGTTATTTAACGCGTATTGACGGTCCCTGGCGGTATAAGGTTGGACTCAGAAGTACAGGGTGACACTAGGAGGTAATTGTTGGAACTGAAATAAGGCCGGGGTAGCCATAAGGTTGGAACAGGGCATAAGGTTGGAACTATGTAACTTGAGACATGTAGTTGTCACCGTGTGAATGTGAATTCTTTACTAATGAGCATGTCTTGATGTATTTTACTTTGTGATCAGTAGAATGCATCTTGAGTTGTATTGTCTTTCATGTTTGTGGTCTTGTCGCTGTTGCAAGGATGGTGATTCCTTTTCCTTTTTGAGAGTGTTTAATGAGTCCTTGAAATTAACTTCTCTCTATGGCTATTGAAATGATACATATACTCTATTTCGTTTCAAAATGGTTTTGCTTATACTTATCTATATATGTTATTTAACGCGTATTGATGGGTTACCAGCAAGATTCGCTGACCAGGTGTCATCCCCATGTTATGTTTTCTTTGTTCTACAGGTTTTGAGTAGATGCCCGATAGCGCTAGACTTGGAACAATAGATAGCTTAGTCACCTTGTCTAGACGTTATGTTTTGAGCGGACTGTGTGCCTTGACTCTTTATGACTTGTTTAAACTGTTTAGTTTTCCCACCTGTGCATCTTTAGTACTTTAAGATGTGGCATAATACCCCCGTTTAGACTTGCTTCCGCTTAATGTTTAATGGATGATTAGATTTCTTATCTCTTGCATTTAAGTTTTAAAAATATGGTAAAACCGGGGGTGTTACAAGTATTGTCCCGTACAATGCACGGATACGTATTATAAATATTGTTGTTATACTATAGTAAATAATTTATTATAAACATTAATTGTAGTTGTTTAAGACAAAAGAAATTTTAGTACATTAAATCATTACATGGATTCTAAAAATATTTTAATGAACATAACTTTGTATTCAATATAATGTATGTTAGCCAATTATTAACAAAACCTAATATTTGATTTTATGTTATTATTGAAAAATATAAAGTACAAATTATTAAAAACCTTTTTTTTTTTTTTTTTGATAAAAAACCATTCATTGATCTCAAAGCAAACTCAAAACACAAGCTGGTGGGATAGTCTCCCACACAGTAAGGACAGAGTTAGGACCAGTTGCCAGTGCCAACACATGAGCCACTTGATTCGTTGACCTTCTGACATGGCGAACCAACATGTTCCCTATGTCATTTGCAATGTCTCTACATTGCTTTACTACCAAACCAACATATGACAAGTCCTATCTAGCTTAATTAAAACTTTGAACATAAATTCATACAGTCCGACTCAATAAAATAAAAAGACTCCGAGCGACTCTTCAAGCAGGATAGGGCTTCCTTGAAAGCTAGGGCCTCCGCAAGATAGGCATTTGAAGCACCCATCAGCCTCCCCACGCAAGCTGCTATGAACTCACCATTATGATTCCTCAAAATCGCACCAAAGGAGGCATCTTGGCCGTGTAGAGCTGCATCTATATTACACTTCAAGAAATCGAACGGTGGCGGCACCCAAACTTGATATGGATTTCCAGAGTGATGGGAATTATAGTTAGGGAATACGGCCTCCTCCCATCCCATAAGCTCAGAACTCACATACGCTTGCATTTGAGAGATACTCCATAGCTTCCCATTCCACACCACATCATTCTGCACCTTCCACATTACCCAAAACCTGCATGTCATTGCAACAGCTTGAGATTCATCTTGATGGCATAGGTTCTCCTCAACAAACTGAGCCAAGATGTAGCCATGTAACACATTTGCCGCACCCCAAAGTTGACAAGCCAAGGGGCACTCACAGAGAATATGCACAATGGTTTCCAATGATGCAGCACATAACGGACATCCGCCTCCAACATAGACCCGCTTTTCCTTTAGAACCTCCCGTACTGGCAAGATTCCTCTCAAGCAACGCCACATGAAATTCCTTACTTTCGATGGTACCCTCGAACGCTAGAGCTTGCGCCATTCTACAAAAGATGGCATATGTTGTGCCACATTATTTTGCACCAAGAGTTTGTAGCCATGTTTAACTATGTATTGGCCCCGTATGTCATTTCTCCAATACCACACGTCGCCATGTTCCGCAGCAATGGGTGTGCGTAATATCCTGTTCACATCATTAGGCAGGAATATATCTCTCAATAAATTAACATCCCATGCACCATCATTGGTCATAAGATTACTTACCCTGACATGTCTCAACTCCTCAGTGCAGTCTGTGTTCAGCCTGGGATTGCCCACATCCGCCAACCAGTTAGCTCCCCAAACCGGGGTATCCCTTCCGTCCCCAATCCTGCGACCAACCCCCTCTCTCAACAAGTGCTGTGCAGCCAATATACTTCGCCATATGTAGCTTGGGTTATGGCCCAGGTTCGCTGCTAGAAAGTCATTATACGAGAAATACCTCACTTTAAGAATTCTACATACAAGAGAGTTAGGAGTCGTGAGAATACGCCATCCCCGCTTAGCTAGTAACGCAATGTTGAACTCATGTAATTTCTTGAAACCCATACCACCCAGAAGTTTCGGATGAGCTAGACATGCCCAACTCAACCAATGAATCCCCTTCCTCTTCGACACACCACTCTCCCACCAAAACCGATTCATAATATTCTCAATAACGTTACATGTTGATTTTGGCAACAAAAAAAAAAAAAACAGACATTGCAAAAATTGGCATAGACGAAGCTACACTCTTTAACAAAACCTCTTTCCTGGCTTTGGGCAAATGCTTCTTCTGCCAGGCTGACACTCTATCCCTTACTCGCTGTTCAATATAACGGAACACTGAATTCTTATCACGCTCCAAAAAAGATGGTAACCCCAAATAATTACCAAAGTGTGTGACTTGCGTGACACCGAAGAAGTTTGCAACATGGTGTCTTGACTGGGGGTTGGTATTTTCACTGAACATAATACTGGACTTGTTAAAATTAATAGTCTGACCTGAAGCTGCGCAATAAGCCTATAAGCAGTTCCTAACCTCCGTCGCCTCCCTGTCATTTGCCTTGAAAAAAAGTAGGCTGTCGTCCGCAATAAAGAGATGGGAGACAGATGAGGCCCCCATGATACTCGTATACCATGAATTTCTCCACTTGCATCCACCTGTTGTAAGAGCAATGACAACCCTTCGGCACATACAATAAACAAGTAAGGAGATATCGGGTTACCTTGACAGATGCCCCGAGTGGGAGCCACAGAACCTGCATCTTCGCCATTTAACAAAATGTTATATTGTACCGAGTTAACACATAGCATAACAAGGTCAATCCACCCGCGGGCGAACCCTAAAGCTAACATCATACCCTCTAGAAAACCCCACTCCATACGGTCGTAGGCTTTTGCCATGTCTAGTTTCACCGCAGCCCAACCCACAACACCATCCCTCTTACGCCTCAGGTAATGCCCAATCTCCCCCGCCACTATTATATTATCTGATATTAGCCTATTGGGCACAAACGCACTCTAATTTGTGGAAATAATATTATCCATGGAAATAATATTATCCAGCACCATTTTCATTCGGTTTGCCACAACTTTAGCAATGACCTTATAAGCCACATTCAATAAGGCTATAGGTCGTAGGTCTGCGACTATCTCTGGGACCTTTTTCTTTGGTATGAATACCACATTAGTGTTGTTGAGAGCAAGTGGGAAATAACACTTATTTATACAGCTTATCACAAAATCAGTAAGATCTCTCCCAATGACAGACCAAAAACTTTGGTAGAAAGAAGGGCACATACCGTCTGGTCCCGGAACTTTATCCGGAGCCATCGAGAAAACGGCGGTCTTCACTTCCTCTGGTGCCACCGGCGTGAGTAGATGCGCATTCATCGCATCAGTAATTTGGCCCTGCACTCGCTGCAACAGATTACCACTAGTAGTAGATGCCCGAAAGATATCAGTATAATATCTTAACACCTTCGGTGTCATAGCTGAACCCTCGAGCCACACGCCATGGGGATCCCGAAGCTTTGCTAACACATTATGTCGACGCCTACTCGTTGCCGACTTGTGGAAAAACCGTGTGTTGCTATCACCATCTTTCAACCACAATTGCTTCGCTCTTTGTCTCCAGTAAATCCTGGGCTAACAACCGGCACAATTCTTTTTCCAACCGCACATACAACTCTACATCGTGCTGCACATGGCTGCTACACAAGCGCTCAAGCCTTGCTTTCAACTGTTGTATTTTCTTACCAAACTTCGCAAAGTATTCCCCACCCCAATGCCATAGGTCGGCACCACACTGTTCCACGCGTTGCATAAAGGTTCACCCGCCAGTCACACTCCAAGACTGCTCCACCACCTGCCTACACTCCCCGTCTAGGAGCCAAGCAGACTCGAACCTGAAACTCTTACCAACCCGCCAACTTGGCCTCCTCTCCAGATCCAGAATCAAAGCACTGTGGTCAGAACTGAAAGTAATCAAGTTTCGAACCACAAATTAAGCTTTTGAGCCCGTCTTGATTACTTACTCTTGATGCAACCACATATAATTGAGTTTAATATGTAATTACTAAAAGAAATAATCTTTATTTGGTAGTATTATGAAGTAATTAAAATTACAAATTAATTGGGCAAATGCGGTTCATGCACACCACTCTTTTCGCATTGAATTGGACATTTGGTTGTACCGGTCTTCATATTTTCTACATTAATAAAATTTATATTTCAAAAAAGCATTGTAAAATAAAATTATTGATATTTTATGCCATAAACAAATAAACATAACAGCAATAAAAACATAACAAATTAAATATGATTTAATTAATTCTGGCCTAAACAAACATTACCGCAATAAAAAACAATAATTTTATTTTACAATTATATTTTAATATAAAAACATAATAAAATAAAATTTAAATAAATAAATTTTAGCCCAAAACATATAAGCCCAACTTTTTTTTTTAATTTTATTTTCTTTAGCCCAAAATCGTAACACATCTGTTGCCATCCCAATACAATTAAAGCCCATATATAAATTTCAACCCCAAACCCTAACATGTAGAGATTGAATCTTCATCTCCTATTTGTTGTCTTCTCCTCTGCGGCTCTGCCTTCTCTCTATCAACGTATACGTATAGTAAACCGGCGACTGCTTTATTACTGCGAGCACCATTGACATAGCGTGGATCTGCCTTTTTATCTTCAAATCTGGGCTCTGTGGTCTTTTACACAAGAGTAATGACTATATAGGACTAAGTGACACCCAAAAAGACAATGATCTACAAAAAAGATAAGTATACTTGTCCCTTTCTTTTGTTTTTCCATTCACTGAATCTACACTTCATGTTAAATTTCTGTAGAATCTGTATAGTATTTGTCTTCTTTTTTTCCTGATAACATACGAAGTTCTCATCAGTAATGTTTTTCTTTTTTTCTTTTTTTTTTGGTGATATATTTCAAAAATCACTCACTTACGAAATAAGTACAAAGTTAAGTTCTCATCTACTTTTTTTAACACTTTAAATTCATGGGTTTTGGATTGACATGCAGATTGTGAGTGTGACACCCCTTAATCCAAATTCGATTAAGGGATTAATTAAATAATTAATCCTATTTCAATTGGTAATTTAATTCCTTAAATTCCTGAAAATCCAATAGTCGGGGACTAGTAATTGACTAGTCAACCCCAAAGTCAAAGTTGTACCTGATCTTTGTAAGGAGTTCCCTTGTTCCCTTACACCTCTTCATGTTAGTAAGGGTATTCTTGACTTTTCACCTTGTGTTAGTATTGTAAGCTAACCTAGTAAGAACACCCTCATTTCTCTCCTTACACTTTCCAAATTCTAGCTCCACCTTCTCTCTAAAAAGGTAGATAGCTTTTCTTCCAAGCCAAGTTGAAGCTTTGTCAAAACCTCAAGAGTTGTCTCCAAGATTCTACCTTTCATACATTTGGGCATCTAGGAGGGTAAGATCCATGTTCATATTGTGTTTTTAGTGTTTTCTTAGGTGTCTTTTCTTAAAGATAGAATCTTTATGATCTTTTGGTGTGTTCTTGAAGTGGGTTTGGAAGGTGAGCTTTGTTAGGAGCTTGGTGAGGTGTTAAGTGAAGGTTTTTGTCTACAAGAGGTAACCCATGCTCTACAAAATCTATTTTGCTTACCTATATGATGATTTCTTAGATTCTACATGTGTTTTCCTATGAAATGTGAGTGTTTATGCATTGTCTTGTGAAAATGCATATCTAGAGCTTGTGTTTAGGGTTCTTGTATGCCATTGCTGGGCTATTCCTTTGATTCAAGTCATTTTGTTGTATTTGGTGAGATTTGGCATGTTTTGGACTTGAATTTGTGCTTGGTGTTGAAAATCCCCGAAGGGATTATTTTGGGCACAGGTGTGTACCCGCGGGCCCACCCGCGGGAACGTGGCTTGTTGGTACCCGCGGACAGAACCACGGGGAACATGCTAGCGTTGTTGAGGGATCTGTTCCCCGTGATTCTTTTGACTCGGTATTTGGTCTTTTGACTTCCCGATGTTCTTTTGTGGAACTATTTGAGTGTCTTCTTGATGTTTCGTATGTTTAGAACTATATGGTAGGAATCCATGTAGGTTTTGGCGTCTTGAATCGTGCTAAGTGTTCAACATTGTGTTTCGTTGAACCGTGATGAGTCTTGTGTGTTCTTCGGAACTACGTTTGGTTTACCCGTTTGATATGCATGCTAGTTCGGTGTTTAAATGCTAGCGTGTGTGTTGTTTGTACCTTCCTATCGTTGATGATAACTTGTGTTATTCATCGTTGTTGTTGGACTGTGATCCATTCCTTGATTGAGTATGGTTTCATATCTTCGTTGCGATCCGTTGATTGATTCTTGTTGAGGTGTGATGTGTGTGTGGCTTTACCTGGATTGCACGATTAGTGGTATGGGACACTAGTCACCAAGGTATTGCAGTGGTCCTCGTGGTGGCCA